GAAGGAAGACAATGACTCCCCCTGGGATTCTGAGGTACCTACTCTGGTGGAAGCTCTGAGTTTCCTCTGGATCAATGGTTTCTGGGCTCCATTCCCTTTGCTGCTGCTTTTACCACACGCTTGTACCTTGGACCTGGATATGCCAGTGCTGCAGACAAAGTGTTCAGTTAGTGCTGGGACAAAGTGAGGTCAAGCTAATGTCCTGGGTCTCCTTGTAGCTGACCTCCCAGCTGGATTTCTAGAACAAAGCAGTAAAGCTTCCTACTGCTTACAGTCCTCTGAAATCCTACAAGACTGGCATTGTGAGGATTGCTGTTTTCCAACCCCAGCCTGCTTCGCTGGATCCATTAATGTCAAATGGTTCCCTTATGACCTAAAGTCTAGAAATGTATTTCTCCTGCCTAGGTTCTCTCTGGATTGGGCAGGAGTACTTCATCCCCTTTGGAAAGCCCTGCTCAAGAGAGATGCCAAACGTGCTGGCTGTGTTTGCCTCTTCTGTTGTGTCCATCACCTGATCATGCTCATTAGGCCTGTTGGCTGAAGCAGAAGTGTTGTGTGTGGAAGTGGGTTGAGAAGGAGCCTTTGCCAGTTCTCAGACATGTCTTTTCAATTACACAGACTGATTCCAAAGGTCGAGGGAAAGTGTCGGCCGACTTGACACTTCCTGCTGCAGTGGGCAAGAGTTTGGATGCGCGCTCTGTTGCAGTGGAGCACGGCAAAGGTAATTTCAGAGGGACTAAATGGTTACCTTTGTGAATTTCTCTGGGGTGATATGGCTGAGGAGAAGCAGAGTGAAATAAGTACTCAGAGTAGTAACACACTGTTTACCTGTTTTCTAGGTATCCTGCCAGCAGCAGGAGTAGAGCAGAAGGAATATTTTGACCCTTCTTCTAAGAATAAGGTACTTAGCTCTGTTCCAGATGAATTGCATTGCCTTTGGCTGAAGTCAGATGTAGTGTGATGCTGCAGTCTTGATGAGGATTCGTTTCTCCACTGTGTCTCTGTTTTCTTGCTCATGTAGGTTCCTATCCTGGAGGCAGATCTTCAGCTAAGATCTGATTCTTCAAGTCAAACAGATTCTCAGCTGGACAGACAGGTGACTCTAATAGAGGCAGAAGTCGATATCCCTAAATAGAGCCTGTCAGTGTAAGCAGAGGTGTTCTGACTATGGAATTCATTTTGGAAAACTGCTGAGAGGAGGTGATTGAGTCTGGACCTGTGCTATACTTCAGACCTCATTTTGTTTGCATTCGGAAGAAGAAGGGCTGGAATAAGCCTTGCTCCAAGTCCCATCCAACTTCACTTTGAACACTTCCACAACCGGGTCCAGTGTCCCACCACAATCCTTGCAAACAATTCATCCCTTATGTCCCATCTAAATCTACTCTCTTTTCATTTTAAATGATTGCCTCTTCTTCTGTCGCTACAGGCCTTGGTAAAAATATCTCTCCCTCTATTTACTTTGAAAGACAGCAGTAAGTTCTGCCCAGAGCCTGCTTTTCTCAGGCTGAAAAATCCCATGTCTCTCAGACTTTTTCATGGGAGCGCTGTTCCAGCCCTCCAGACATCTTTGTGGCATTTTTCCGTCCATGTCTTGTTTGTGCTGGGGGCCCCAGAACTGGACGCAGGACTCCAAGTGGAGTCTCATGAGATCAGAGTAGAAAGGGAGAATTGCCTCCCTCGACCTGCTGGCCAACCTGATGACCAATCTAATTATATAATCCCATCAGTGAAAGCATCTCTTGTGTTGTCATGTTGTTACCGATTTCTCCATGCTCATGGAACACTGTATCTTTAGCCATTGGTCAGGCAGCTGCTGGAGAAGCCTGATGAAGTTCTCAAAAAGAACTCCCTGGCAGAACCTTCACTTGGAGCTATGAAGACCCACAGCAAGGACCTGAAGGAAGAGAAACCGCTGATGCAGGAGAAACTGGAGAGGTCTGAAGCTAAGGTATGGGAAAGCCTGTCTCTTGGCAGGGCTCAAGGCCTTCTTTGTAGCGCACTAGAGCAGGGAAGTGATTCTTCCTTGAGAAGAACACAAGGTGGTTCAGTGTGCAGCTAGCTGTGATGGGAAGGAACAGCACTGCTTCCTTTGGTGTCTGCCTGTTGGCACAACTTGAAGTGACAGTGGAGGGCTGCACTAAAGTGACACAGGGACCGAAAAATTATATGCGGAAGATTTACTCGAGGAGGATAAAAGAATTTTTGCTCAGGGAAGTTTTGGCTGCTAGGAAAGGCCCAGCGTGGGGGAAGATTATTTCCCATGAAAAGCACTGTCTGTATTTTTCCGCCTGTCTGTTTAAGAAGCTACCTCCACTGTTGCAAGAAGAGGTAACACATTCTCACAGACATGCTGTGGGGCCCCTGCCAGGGGAGAGAAGAAGTCCATAGAAGGACAGGGAGAGAACGCAGCCTTGAAGTTGTTGTCGTGGGGTAAAAAAGTGTTTTGCCCTGGAGTTAGAAAAGTGGTAACCCCCGAGGGGGTGGTGTTCTTGGTGTAGGGCCCAATCAGAAGCTACATTTTGCTCCTTTGAAATCAACATATTATAACAGAGCGGAAAAGAAGGGAGATGACGTAGCTGGAAAAGAAGTAGCCATAATCTTTCCCTTTTGTGCCTCCGGTTCTCCATCCTGCCGCGGGGGGAGGGAGAGCGGCGAGCCAGTGAGCAGCACTGTGGCTTGGAGAGTCTCAATGGGAGCACTAAACTGGGGAGTACCATTCCTAAACCACGACACCACCAACGCACTACAACTTGTGTTTGGAGTCCTTGAGAAAGGAGAGACATGTTGTGGCAGCCCATAGGAAATGCTCTAAGAAATCAGTGTAGGCATAGGAGAGGGCCCAGTATAAAAGAGGAAGAAGAAACACAGGTTTTGAGAGTTTTCATCAGTGTCAAAGCAGCCCACTTGTTTTGAACAAACGTAAGCCGTCTACTGAGGATTCTTGTTGGGGTTTGGCATCTGCAGGAACCAAAAGAGCATCATATCCAGAAGGAGTGTTTTGCTGCGTCATTGAAGAGTGCCCCAAAGGAGAAGGAAATAACAACTTCCAGGAACCTGCAAGGCCTTCCTCCTTCATGGAACGTGTCTTTACCTGCAGCTATCGGCCAGCTGCGAGAACGCATTTACTGGTAAGACAGTGGAGCAAAGCTTCACTTTTTGTGATTGTGTAAAAAGAACGGGACTTACTTGTATCCCAGCGAGATACTACTACATGATTTTCAAAGATGCTTTTATTTTAGATGAGGTTCTTTCACACTGTTCCTTTGGGATTTGTGCTCTTGTGGACTTCTGTCATAAGGCCTGTACTTCTTTTTCAGTCTCGAAGTTGAGTACGCCAGGCTGGAAGCCACAGTCCAGCAACAGGCCCAAACCATTGCAATGATTGAGAAGTTCAGGCAAGCCCAAAAGGTACTCGGGGCCTTCCCTTTCATGACCCACGGAGCCTAGTTCCATATTCAGGCGGGGAAATTTTACGATGAGCTTTCCCTAGAGAGAGTCTAGGAGAGATCAGTTCCTCTGTTCTACTGACTGTAGACTGCCCTAAAAGTCCTGTCTATTCCCCAGCTTTCTGGCATTTTGAGTTGTGCCGTGAGACTAAACCAAATCCTACTTATTGCTGTCTGTGTTAGGGGTTGACAGTAATGCACTTAAGTATTAGTGCATTACCAGGTTTCAGTGTTTTCTGCTTTGAACCAGTCGGGAGGTTGAGGCCTCAGACAACACTTCAGACAGTCCTACAGTAGAGGGATTTGGTACCTTTGCTTGTGGGCTTTCCATGGGCTCTGGTGATGCCGAGCATTTCTTCCTGGAGGAATGGCATGAAGCTGTGTCAGGGGAGGTTTACTTCAGATGTTAGGAAAAGGTTCTTCAGCCAGAGGGCAGTTGGACCTTTTCTCCATGCAGGAGACTTTCTTGGCACATAACTGCTCCAGCCACCCTTCACGTTTTACAGAGCACAGGGGGCAGTTGCAAGGGAATATTTTCTATTCTTGCTATCCTGTCCACCCTCACAGCTGCTGCCAACTCTTTCTCTCCCACAGACATGCAAGTGCTCCATCATTCACAGAGGAGCAAGGCCCAAGCTGCCATAAGAAAGAAGCCATCTCTGTGGCAGTAACTGTGGTTTAAACATGCTTCAAAATGGCTTTTTGTAGTCTCTTTGCTGGCTCGTGCTTTCTTTTTCCCAAGACCCCCCATGACAAGTGTTATCCCATGCAGGAATGTCCTGAGAAGATATCCTGAAGTGTTCTCATTGGCCCCTTTTAACCTCTTCCTATTGGTTGTTAACCCCTTCCTGCAACCTGTAATTGGTTACCCTGTGAATCTTCCTAACCCTATAAATGTAACCCCCCCAACAATAAACTCTCTCTTGCCTCCTCTCCACACCGGTGTGCTGTCTCTGTGCCTGCCAGGGGACCACTTGAGTGGGGGGAGGGGAGAGCACCTCTCCCCTCCAGGCTTTGGACCTGAAGAAACCCCTGGCGCTGGAGTCCCCCCTGCCCCCCCATCCACATTAAACCGTCGGAAAGGGTTCCTCAGATGGAAATGGAACTAGAACTGGTGCGCCACTCACCATGGGGAGAAAGGGATCCAGATCTCTCCAGTGTAATTAACCCAGCAGTGCTTGGGTCATTTCAGCGAAGATTCCGAAACAAACTACACGGAGAGGGGTGCTCTGGAGCTGAGAATCATGCCAAGGGAGCAAGACGAGCTCTCCTACCCATTAAGACCTCGATACTAGGGCAGAGAGAGTCCCTTACTCTCAAGTGGGAAGCAGTGGAGCTGTGGCTCAGGGACAGCTCTGACTCAGCATGGATGGCATCAGCAGGGACCCTCACCCCTAGAACATTCCCACCCCTAGAACACCCCTACTCCTAGAACAGACTAATTTGTCTATAATGTGAGGAAATGAAGTACCAAGTCGCCACATTCCATATTGCCTAAATAGCAGCAAGAGGCAATAAGAAATGCAAAAGAACTGCACATTTTGCGTAAAGCTTTGGAAGGCTGTAGAGACCTTTCACGCTCAGATAGCCCAAAGCAGAGCACAAAGCATCTGGCAGCAATCATTCGGGATGCACCACAGCTTAATGATAGGACTGGCCTTGGCTGCTGCTGGTATAAGAGTGATGAGCCGAGCTGAAGGGTGATGCTGCTTGCATGCCTCTCATCTTTCATGGGTTAGCCCAGAAGGACCCACAACATGTATTACTGAGCAGTGATGATTCAGCATCATCCTGTTGATGACAGGTTTTGAGATGGAGTATTGATGCCAGGTCGTGACGAAACACTGGGAATTGCCAAGAGACTTCCATGGATGGCCCAAAAAAGACAATTGTCTTAAATCATATGAGGCTAAACCTTTACAGCAGAACTTAGATAGATAAACATTTAAAAAATATATAGCCAAATAGAAGTATTTAAATTATGTTTTTTACACATAGTGTTTTAGCAACGTTTAAGCAGTTCCTGCACAGTCTTACAAAAATTCACAACTCTGATTTCTCTTAAATCCCCCAAAACAAAATGGATTTCATGATCCATATCTCCATAAGTATTTTGCAAGCATCGGTTTCAATACTGCACAACAAAGGATATAAATATTGGGTGGTTTAATGACTTTTTTAATCCTTGTGTAGGCTAAAGTAGAGCTATTATGAATAACAGGAGATATGCAGAATTCTGCATGCCTCTTTAGGTATAATTGTCTGTGGACTTCCTTCTTTCTCATTAAATTTAGCTTACATGCAGATAGTAATCTACAGCAGATGTGCACAAAGTCCCAAAGTACCTGTTCCAAGTATTATTAGGTGGTGTGGCGGCACAAATTTATAGCAACACATAGTTAACTTTAGGATTTAATTTTAAATATGTAACCCCTATAACGCATACGTCATGGTCTGTTTGGATCTCTCAAACTTACAGGACAATATATTCTGTAACCTAAATTTTGTTTTATGAGCTCATTTGGAAATAAAATAAATACATCTAACAAAGGCTCAGTTCCCTTTGTACAGCCCAGTCTAATGTGAATTCACTAATTCATCACTTAATTTGTGAGGTTTCTAACTCACAAGATCTCTAATTCCTATTCAATGCAAACCTTAGCTCATATGCCGTGAGACACTGGATTATTATATTAGTTATTGGCTCAGAGAAGCTCAAATGTGGGTGTGTGTGGGGGGACAGGTCAAATGTCATGAAGGTGAAACAGAGCCCTGCTCCGTACTCCAGCCCCTTGGAGCCTCCTTGGGCAGCCCTGGAGCAGCTGTCAGTCACTGGCACACAGAGAACCCTCCCCCACACCACACTCCCTGGAGCCCCCAGCCCAGCCTCAGAATGGTTGGCGCACTGGAAGTCCCACCTAGGGGGGAGGGTGGCCAAAGCAGATAAAATCAACACTATGCAGCCATCGCATGGTCGCACCCTACCATCTGGACATGTAGAAGCTGGGCTTGCACGCGACTTTGGGTGGTAGCTATAATTCTTTCTCTTTCTTTACTTCTCCTAATTTCCTTTCTTGATATCTGGGTAACTTAAAGCTGGATGGGTTGGATTATGCTAAATTGTAAGGGTTAGCATGCGCTAAGTCAATGCTTTGTGAAATGCTTTATTTTGGTTGAATGTTGCCCTTCAAACTTTTGCCAAGTTCCCTTATTTTCTGAAGTTTGCCAGTAAAAGTGTGTTATTTGACCTCCTGAGAAACGTGTGCAGCATCTTCTCCTGTGCGCTCTCTCAAGGTATTAAAAGAACTCAAGGCCCCTTTAATAAACTTGGTGGGTGAATTTTTGGAGCCTCGTATATTTTTAAAGTAAAACCCCTTTGATATGCTTGTAGCTCGAACCTGGGTTTTTACATATGGCTATAAGTAAAATAGTTACTGGACTGACAGCAAGAGTGCTCCTTCTTCCTTTCTGTCATGGTGTGGCTGTCCCTTGTATTGCACTGGGAAGCATGAATGCCTCAGCAGTCCAACTGCTGTTGAAAACTGTCTGCTTGAAAACCTTTTTGGGTGAGCTCATGTCATTATACCTTCCAGTTTGGAAGTTTGATCTATACTATTTCCATGAGTTGGTGGATTATGAAGAAACTGCCAAACATTAAATACGCAGGGATGATGGCTGCAGGATACTGTGAGCTGTAGGTGACAGTGGCTTCAAAATGACCTTTGTCCCGGTCACCATGTCCTGCCTATGTGTTGCTCTCAGTTTGACTTAATGGTCCTAGCATACATCAGGCCTTAGCATGAGCAAAGTGCTAGCCAAAACCTGATCAGGAGGAGTGTGAGCAGCCACACACATCCTCGCAGGCTGCCTCATTCTGAACACCTTCCCTTTTGTTGAGTTAAATTTAATACTTACATCTTCAAGATAACATGTGTTTTTGGACAGGTATCCAGTTTAAGCAATACCTGTCCTTTCAGCTCTTCGGTTAAACCTACAACAGCTGTAACTGCCATGACTTCATTAAACACTGTATTGCTCAAAAAATTATGTGTTCTGTTGGCCTTTATTCATAGAGGGATTGGTCTCCAATGCAAGAATCTTCTTGAATGAAGCTTTCATCAAGCTTCAAAAAACCTCATAACTCACTAAAAGTACTTCAATATTCAGTGCCTCATAAAAGAATGAGCTGAATATGCAAGAAAATACATTTGTGCCTAGTCAGCAAACTCCTACACATGGACCTTGAAAAAGTTTTCAGCATTTAATAACACTTAGACTATTTAGATGTAGGCTACTTAGACTGAAAACCTTTAATTTCATTATTTTTGCCTATTTCCAGATTGGCAGGAGTCATAGATAACCTGGTAGACTCATGTTAATGAAACATATTCTTGATATGAAAAAGCCCAAATCTAAATGTCAGAAAACACACAAACATTTGGAGTTCAGGGGATTAGAACAAGAATTTTGTGAAATTTTGAAAGTATTCACCTAAACTTTAAATGCTAACCTTACTTTTCCTCTCTTCTTCATGCTGCTTTGGCTGCAGGGCTGTGTCCTCCTTTTAGTTAATCATAGGGGGAATAGATAAAAGCATTGTTATCTGAACTGAACTGCTGTGTAATGTTTCGGTAAGAGCATTGCCAAGAGACTCTAGAAGTCATTACGGTTCAGTTGCTCTCTGACTGGTGCCTTCTCTTGTGTGTGGCCCCACTTGATCAGTACCCATTTCCTGTCATGTATCCAATAGTTTTGCCAAGAGTTAAAAAAGTGGAACATTTTTGGATTTGTCATTCCAGCAGAAATCCTCAAGTGAGGGATAAGCATGTGAAGGATTGAGACAGGGTCTCAAAAAATTCAGTTAAGATATTATTATCTTTTCTTTTTTTAAACTGCAAAGCCAAAGTCATCTGTCAAGAACAATGTTGGTAGTTATTCTGAAAGAGAGCAGCAGCTTAGGATACCAGAATTCTCTTCCAAACCTGCCTATGTCCCCTTTTTACTGCCTCTTTACAGCTCTACCTTCAAGCACACCTAACTGCACCTCTCTTTGAGGATTAGTCTTCCAAATTCCACAAATTATTTCTCCTAATGATAAAGAACAACAACCAAATTCTGATAGAATGAAATATCAAAAAGTAAAAATTAAGCTGTGTGAGATTATTGTATTAATAATTGGCTCAGATCAACTCAAGCGTGTGTGTGTGGGTGTAAGGGTCAAAATTCACAGAGGTGAGGCGATGCCCCGTTCCTTACCCCAGCCCCTTGCAGCCTCCTTGGGCAGCCCCGGAGCAGCTGTCAGTCAAAAGCAGCCGGGGAGTACTGCTCCACATCACATCCCACAGCCTCTGACCCTGCCCCAGACTGGCTGCCACACAGGAGGTCCCGCCCTGGGGGCAGGGGGTGTGGCCAGAGAGGGACCAGAGCAAATAACAGCAGCAACATGTGCTTTCCATGTGGTTTGGACCTCGCCATCTTTCTGGGCTCCTGTAACTGGATCTACACTGGATCTAGGGGTGGTAGCTATAATTCTCTTTTTCTCTCACTTTATTTACTTCTTCTTCTCCTAATCTCCTTAGTATTTTGGATAACTTAAAACCAGATGGGTTAGAATTAGGGTTATTTTAACAAGCCCATTGTTCGAATGGGCACTGCATTTGTCAATAACCATACATGCAGTACATACATTTCAATAGCCTGTATTTAACTAATAAGTAATATTTATGTAAACTAGTTCTTCCAGCCCCACAAAGTCACACATTATTTTGGTGTTTATTATTTCTCTGCTGTCATCTCTGTCTCCTGCTAATATACCCACTTCAATAATTGATTACTATGCATGGTGTCTTTCACATGTGTGTTAAGGATATAAATTGATATACCTCATCCAGTGATGAGTATAAAATGTGTTCACTTATTCATGTGGATTAAGTAAGGCACAGAGGGTTTAAGCTATTTTATCCATCAAAGCAACAGGGGAACTAGCAATAAAACCTGGCAATCCTGATTCTCCTTATCCCCGCTGTATGTGATGCTCACTTCCAATCACTAGAATGCCCACTGTATCCCAGTGTAATGATCCCACCTTTCCTCTTACAGCTCTCAATAATGTGACAAGATGACCTGATTCAGATGCTGTTGCTTAGGCTGGTTGAAAGATTATACAGGAGAAATAAGGTATTACTGCTTTCGGACAGAATCACAGAGTGGTTGAGGTTGGAAGGGACCTCTGGAGGTTATCTGGTTCAACCTGCCCTGCTCAAGCAGGCCCATCTAGAGCCAATTGTCCCTGACCTTGTCCAGACATTTTTTTAATACTTCCAAAGATGGAGATCCCACAACCTCCTTGGGCAACCTGTGCCAGCGCTTATGCACCCACATAGGAAAGAAGGTGCTTCCTGGTGTTCAGAGGGAGCCTCTTGCATTTCAGTTTGTGGCCATTGCCTCTGGTCCTGGTACTGAAAAGAGCCTGGCTCCATTTTCTTTGCACCTTCCCTTCAGCTATTTATAGATATTGATAAGACCCCCAGAACAGTCCCAGCTCTCTCTGTATTTCCTTATATGTTAAGTACTCTAGTCCCTTAATCATTGTAGGCCTTTCTTTGGGCTCTGCAGTATGTCCATGTCTCTCCAGTACCGAGAAGCTCAGCACTGGACACAGTACTCCACATGTGGCCTCACCAGTCCTAAATAAAAGGGAAGCGTCACCTCCCTAGACTTACTGGCAATACTTTGTGTAAGCAGCTGAGGGTACTATTCACTGTCTTTGCAAAGCAAAGCACATTGCAGGTCCACCAGGACCCCTAGCTCCTTTTCTGACAAGGTGCTTTCCAGCTGGGTGGACCCCAGCACATACTGGTGTCTGGAGTTGTTCCTCTCCAGGAACTTTGCACTTCACTTTGTAGAACTTCATGAGGTTTTTGTCAGCCCATTTCTCTGTCCTGTTGAGATCCAGCATTGTGAAAGTATCTGATTCATATTATTGTGAACCATTAATGCAGGATGATGTTAAATTGAATTGATTCTTGGGAGAACGTTGACATTCCATAGGCAAAGTGAACTACATGACAGGAGACCACCTTGGCAGAATGAAAGTTGGGTGTCTTTGAGTTGTAGGGAATTTATGGTCTAAGACTCACTGACAAGAAAAAAGCATGAAATCAGAGGTAAGTGACAGATTAGGGAATTGAAAGCTGGAGAAGAATTTACCACAGGAACAGCAACGAGAGTTGATGTGCTCCAGCTCTGCTTCAATACAGTAAACAAAGACAAGACTCACATAAACAAATGGCAGCCAAAAATACCCACAGCACAGATATCAGGGCGAAGACAAGTCTCTTTTCCAGCATTCAAGCCGTGCCTTCATTTTTGTTTTGTTGTTGGTGGTTTTTTTTTTTAAGAGAGAGAGAAATGAGGATATAGCATTTAGAAGGCAAATTGGAGGTTGCCATTATTGTTCTGTTGCTGCAATTAGCTGGAACACGTAACATGGACTCAAGATGACAAACTCTGACTTCTCTAGATCCAGATGG